ACAGTATGGGCTAGGGGATACCATCAGTACACAGTTTAGTTAATAAGATCAATACAGTCAAGGGTAGAGGAGCATCCTTAGAGTAACATGACAATGATGTCTGTAGGGGTCCCTACAACCTGCCACTAGGACTCACTTCTTAGTCCTGGGGTCGTTTTTCCTGTCCAGCAGGTTGCCTTAGATACCAGGGATTATAAACTTCAGAAGAGCAGGTATATCACTAAGAAGTTTAAAAATTCACTTTCAGCCTCCTCCAAGATGGCTGCGCCCAGGTGAATACCTAGCTGCAGCCTCACACAACAATTTCAATAAAATACAACTGAAATATAAAACGGACATTACCCAGAACTACAGGAAAGTTGACTGACTGGAAATTCTACAACGAGAAGCAAGGAGAAAACCAGAAGGAAGCGCGGAGGAGCTGGAAAAGCCGAAGGTACGGAGACACGCGGCGCGCGGAGAGGACGGAGCTGGAGAGGAGGGAGGCGGAGTGCCTGGCTGGCGTTCCCTAGCGGGAAGGAGATAAAACTCCGACTGTGCTGGCCCCAATTCTGACTGCTCTGAACCCCAGGCCTAGGCCAAACCCCGGGGACTCAGGCTCACTCAGAGGGAGCTGGGCTGCGAGGCGGAACCCGGGGAAGCTGCGAAAGGAGGTCCCGGCGGCGGCGGGCAGTGCTCGCAGAGAAGGGACGGCCGGCTGTGCCGCGGGATTGCCTGGCGGGAAGGAGACTGGGGCTCCAGACTGCTCTGAACGCCACTTCCGACTCCACTTCCAACTGAACTGAACCCCAATACCGGGCTCATTGGGGGAGAGCATTGACTGTTTGGCAGCAGGCGAAAATCAAGGGCACCTTTCTCTCAGAGGCGCCGGCAGCGAGCACTGAAGGACCCGCATAGGGCGGGGCTGACGGAAGCCCAGGCTGCAGGCTCCACCCTGAAACTCCGCCCCATCTGTAGCTGTGAAATGCGACAACGAAATAGATCACAAACGAAAGAAATGGAGGACAAAAAGCGACTGGATATAGAGTTCAAATCTACGCTTATAAGGTTTTTCAAGAATTTCCTAGAAAAGATGGATAAGACCTATGAGGATATGAAAAGAAATCAACTAGAATTAATAAGGAGTCATCAAGAAATGATAAGGGAACAACAAGAAATAAAGAATACATTGTCTGAAATAAAAAATATTTTACAGAGTCCTAAAAACAGAAGGGAAGATCGCAAGAATCAAGTCAAAGATTTGGAACATAAAGAGCCAGAAGACACTCCTCCACAGAAGCTAGAAGGCAAGAGAATCCAGAAAATTGAAGATAATGTAAGAAACCTCTGGGACAACTTCAAGCGAACCAACATCAGAATTATGGGGTCCCAGAAGATGAGAGAGAGCAAGATATCGAAAACATACTGAAAGAAATAGTGACAGAAAACTTCACCCACCTGGGGAAAGAATTAGACTTACAAGTCCAGGAAGCGCACAGAACTCCAAACAAAAGGAATCCAAAGAGGACCACACCAAGACAAATCATAATTAAAATTCCAAGAGCAAAAGACAAAGAGAGAATATTAAAAGAAGCAAGAGCAAAGAAGGTAGTTACCTATAAAGGATCACCTATACGATTGTCAGCTGACTTCTCAACAGAAACCATGCAGGCCAGACGGGAATGGCAAGAAATATTCAAGGTGATGAATAGTAAGAACCTACAGCCAAAGATAATCTATCCAGCAAAGCTATCACTCAGAATCAAAGGTCAGATAAAGAGCTTCACTAATAAAAAAAAGCTAAAGGAGTTCATCAACACCAAACCAGACTTATATGAGTTGCTGAAGGGAGTTCTTTCAGAAGAGAAAGTAAACAAAGATAAAAATTATGAACAACAAATACGTAACTATCAACAAGTGAATCTAAAAACCAAGGAAATTAAAAAAAAAAATCTGATGAACAATAGTAACTTGAATATAATAGAATCAGAGGTATGGAAGGGGAGTGAACTGACGATTCTTGGGGAAAAGGGGAGAGGGGGGTGTGGGAAGAGACTGAACATAAACTGTGCACCTATGGATGAGGACAATGGGGAGTGGGGAAAGGGCAGAGGGTGGGGTGGGAACCTGGTGGAGGAGAGCAATGGGGGTGGGGGGGAAAGGAACATTTGTAATAATATGAACAATAAAAACTTATTTTTTAAAAAAAATTCACTTTCATTTTTCTATTTAATGTTCAATTTAATCTGCAAACACTAACAGTGTACTTGGTAACAATGTACCTTGACTTCCTGGTTCATGGGTTGACAATCAGCCACTGGGCCACACCAGCCAGGCCAGATACTCAATTTTATTTATTTTTAAAATATATTATTTTTTATTGATTTTTTTACAGAGAGGAAAGGAGAGAGATAGAGTTAGAAACATCGATGAGAGAGAAACATCAACCAGCTGCCTCCTGCACACTCTCGGTGATGTGCCCACAACCAATGTATATGCCCTTGACCGGAATTGAACCCGAGACATTTCACTCCGTAGGCCGACGCTCTATCCACTAAGCCAAACTGGTTTTGACAGATACTAAATTTTAATGTGCCCAGTAAAATATGGCTGATTTATATTATTGGGGAGCTGCCAGCCTGTGTCACATAATAGGTCTGCTCTATAGGGCAATAATAAAAAGGTGAACTCTTCCGGTCTTTTTAGGAATGAGCAGTGCTGGAGTCAAGAGCCCAGGGAGCTAGTCTTGGCCTACAAGTGTCTTTTTGTCTTTACTCTTGGATAATGCCCATTGGGTATTACTTCCTACCATGTAAACACACTGCAACAGTCAGATACCTCGATGTGCTAGGATTCTCTCTCTCTTCTAAAATTAAACTGTGTGGAGAAATATTTATCTCTGTATCCCCTGGTATTTGGTACCTCAAAGGGAGTTTAATGAATGAGTGGAGTGCACAATTCTTGGATTACTAATTATTCTTATTTTAAACTATTTGATTTAGCTGAATGGGATCAGAAAATTAGAAAACCAGTAACACTACTCTAAAAGGCATTAATAACTAACTGTACCAGCATGTTTGCTAGAGTACAAGTGTTCTGAGGTAACCCTTCAAAATAATTTTTTGGGGCCTAGCTGGTGTGACTCAGTGCTTGACATTGACCCCATGAACCAGGAGGTCATGGTCAGGATAATGTCTGAGTTTTGAGCTCAATACCCACTAGGGGGTATGCAAGAGACAGCCTATCAATGATTCTCTCTCATCATTGATGTTTCTATCCCTCTCTCTGAAATCAATAAAAACATATTTAAAAAATAATTTGTTGGTATCTTATTTTAGCTTAAGGAAAACAATTCCCCCTTTTCTCCCTTCTCTCGGGGTTAACCAAAGTACCCAAATTTAGGCAAAACTCAGCCCACTTGACAAATAAGAATTATAAATGGCAAACTGGTGGATTGTTGAATGTGACGTTTTAATATATAAAGAGTAAAGGTCATGGGTTAGAAAAGGCTTTTAAGTTTTGATAAAAAAAAATTTGAAACCATTCTGATTTAGATAATACTATCCAAATCTTGGAGAAATTAGCAGGAAGAAAACAAAAACAAAACAAAACTCTGCAACTAAAAAATGGTGACATTAGAATTGTGATTATGTCTCCAAAAAATCAGAACAAAAATCTCGTCATTTCACAAAAGAAGGGCTCCAGCCTGCCCCCAAACGACACATTGACACCCCCCACCCCCCCAATTCACTCCGATTTCCAAAGTATATGAGTCCCCAGGGGCTTCCAAACCCCATTAGCTGGTAATACTTGGCTCTCACTTGGGTGAACAGGCAGCTGAGATGAGAGGTGTGTTTAACCAGATAGTTCTTCCTCTAAAGGGATCTAGACATAGGGGGTGAAGGAGGGAATTGATTGATAGGTTTAGAGGAGAAAGCCAGGGGCTTTGGGTTTCCTGCAGTTTACAAAGTGCAAAGGTTTATTAGGAGAGGTTGAAGTCCTTTCAAAAGGCTCTTTTCTTTAAAAAAATAAATAAATAAACACACACACACATATATATATTCCCCCCCCCTCCCTGATTTTAGAGAGGGAGAGAGAAACATCAATATTGAGAGAAAACCACTGATTGGCTGCCTTCTGCATGCCCTCCACTGGGGATCGAGCCCGCAACCTGGGCATGTGCCCTGACTAGGAATTGAACCTCATTCATAGGTTGATGCTCAACCACTGGGCCATGCCACTCAGGCAAGTCTCTGTTTCTTGTGTTGTACTTTCAAATAGTAGACAAATAACTTTCTTTCTTTTTTTTAACTACTCATAACACTTTATTTTTACTTTGTACAAAATACAAAAATGCAATCCAAAGAGTACAGAAGACCAGTAGCGACAGGCACACTGCACAACAGCAAACCTTGTCTAGCAAGACATTAGTTTTTAAAACTTTATTTTAGTGAATACGTGCATTATATAAAACAACAACAACAACATCAAAAACACAAAGAGGCTAGAGATTTCGCTATTTCTACTCCCCCCCAAATAACACTTACTATCAAGACTTTGGATAAGACCAAAAAAAATTTAAAAAGCCAATAATACTTTTTCCCCCCATAAAAATGTAAAAGCTACAATAAACTGTCTTTTCCCCCCATCACACTGATTCAATGTTTTCTGCAAAGCCATACATTAAACAAAACAAAACAAAAATCCTGAACTGGACAGTAATACTCAAGAGGGTTGTTACCTAGGTAACCACTCAGTAGTTTAAAGACTCTTTTAAACATTTGGAAGCCCTCTAGTCATTGCTCAGTACAGTGTTCCAGCCATCATGCCCTTTTTCCCACCTTTTACACGCCTTGGAATAGAAATGCTTGCATCATTGAGTCTCTGTTCCTAAGAACTAGTTTGGAAAAAAGAAAGGAATGTAAAAAAATATTTAACAGAACTATGAGAGATGTAGGCAAGGAGTCTTCTCTTCATAGCAAAGTTGGGTTTGCTTTGCATGGCTTCTTCTGTAGGACCTTTCAGGGCTTGTTGATCTGCCCCATGAATAAGAAGGCACCTACAGAATTGAAAGAAAACAACGCATGACTATAAAAACAGTTTGTTTGTTTTTTAAATAAGACGGAAGGCACATTTAACGGAAGGTCCCTGGGATGAGTTTAAGTTACGGCTCTCAACAGAACTTTCTGCAATGATGGAAACGGTTTATACCCTCACGGGCCAGGATGGCAGCCATGAGTCACATGTGGCTACTGAGCTCTTGAAATATATATTTTATGCAATGTTATGAAATAACATTAAATGAGTTAAAAGTTGAAGTGAAATAGCCACATGTGGCTAGAGATTAGGCCACACACTAATTATGACACTGAACTTGCAATGAGACAAGAGGATAAGGAACTAGCTTAGATTATTGATTTAAAAAAGGATAGGAGTTAAATGTATTATTTCTACTCTGTGGCAACATGAAGCCAACCTTTCCACACACAACGACAATATTATTTATTCTTCAGAGTTGTACTAGGGGATAGGAACTACTGTTACCCTTAAAGATGGAGCTAACGTTTGAACCAATGACTCACAGAGCCAAAACCCATTGAATTAACAAATTTCAAGTTCTAACCATGGAGTGGGCTTACAAAGGTTGATGGCATCTAGCTTCTTGTAAAGTTTTACTGCATTTATTTAAAAGAAAATCAATAGATGTTAAAAATGGCCCAATGGTGGCAGAGCTCTCTCCACGTTAAAAAAACAAGTCAAAACAAAACAACACAAACATACAATCTTGTCCTTGTTTAGAAGATTCCATCACACTCTGTAAGCACAGTCTGACTTTCCTCTCTCTTTAATGCGTGTGGTGATATTTTGAAGTGCTTGCGGTTGTTGCCACATGGGAGATAGACTAAGAGCAGCACCATGGGATGTAACCACAATGGCAGTCCACCTTTCTGAATTCTAACTTGTGGCCGATGGAAGAGGAGGATCACTTACCTGTAGGGTTATGTCGGATGAAAAATAGGAAAGGTCTGTCCACTATAAACCAGGGAGGAGATGACCTTGCAATTAGAATGGCAGCTGTGGGAAGAAAAGGAAACATGTTGTGCACCCAGCAAGGCAGCTGGCCCAATGGAGCCTTGATTCCGGTGTTTGGGGACACGCTTAATTCTTGGATGTATCACTAAAGGCCCAATGGTCCCCATTCACTGAACAGCTACCATAGGCTAGGCCTTTGCATGTACCGTCTCGTTTAGTCTGCATGAGCACCACCTTTAATAAAAACACTCACTCTTTGTAGGGTTTCTATGGGGTTTCAGTGACACAAACATATTATAATGATGGTTTGTTTGCCATCATTAGTGGCTGCTTTTTTTAATTTTTTTTTTATTCCATCTGCCTTTCTGATGAAGGCAGCTGGTCCTTTCAGCCTATTCAAATTCCTTCTGCATATCAAAGTCCAACTTCGTGCTCAACTTCTGAGTCTGTGCCTCTTTCCCTGGCACGATCTAGGTCTCCCTCCTGTTGGCAACATAGACCCACTCATTGGGAACTAATGTGTTGTCCATCACACCTTGGTGTAGACATTGGGCTGAGGAAGCAAACTTCTTTAGTTAAACAGTCTTAGACATGCTTACTCTGCCATGCTTACCAACAGTGGCTTCAGTTTAATAAGCCCGTGGTAGTGCCAGGCATAACTGCCCCATGCTTGCTGCACTGACCCGGTCCTCTTGTTCAAGCCCCAGAAAGCATTCATGACCTCGGCTTGATATTTACAAAGAAAACATCTGTAGCTGTGTTGGGATAAACCACTCAACTCACCAGGGTTATTAAAAACAACTCAATAGCAAGTGTTATGGACTAAATTGAATACCCTCAGAACATATATGTTGAAGCCTTAATCTCCATCGTGACTGCATTTGGACATAGAATCTTGAAGGAGATATATACTTAAATAAAGGCAAGAAGGTACGGCCCTAATCCAATAAAACTGGGGTCCCAATGAGAAGAGAGGTTGACACACAGAGAAAAGACCTTTGAGGACACAGTGAGAAGGCGGATATGCACAATTGAAGGAGAGAGGACTAGAGAGAAACCAGCCCTGCCAACACCTTGATCTTGGGCTTCAGCCTCCAGAAGTGTGAGAAACGAATTTCTGTTGGACTTGTTACGGCAGCTCAAGCAAACTAATACAGCAGAGCTGGGCTCCATGAGGCTATGACCTGGGCAGCTACGCAGGGCCCCACACTCACAAGGTCCCTGCATGTGGTATAGTGTCCTGCTGCTGCTGTCTCAAACTCTCCATCAGTTTTGATCAAGGGGCTCCCTGTTTTCATTTTGCAAAGAGCCCTGTAAATTGTGTAGCCAATCCTGATAGTTATGCTGTTGGCAAAAATGGGTCAATAACTTTGGAAAAACTTATATGCCACTTATAATCACCCAGGAAAGGCAGGAGGAATTTAAAAAAATGCCAACCCCTCTTATTCTAGGTCTTTGTTTCAAATGCTATTTTAAAGGAATAAGTATTAAATGTTTAGTTTAGAAAGGCAATAACATGTATACGGTGGATATACATGGTACTTTCAATGACCAGAAATGTCTGACCCAGTTACAAGTGCAGCTGAGATATGGTTCACTTTATGCGCTCACAGGGCTTGCTCATATTTATTCAAGCAATCTCAGGTGGAAAATCAAGAGGCAAAAAGGAAACAACCTAAGATTGTTCCATTTTCTCCTTCATTATGTGAGCCGTCGAGGGGAAAGCAGATGCTGATGTTCAAATGATCAAGAAAGGCTGCACGGCAATGCTGCTCCAATCAGCAGCTGCGTGCTAATTCTTCGCTTCGTCCTGAGTAAACCCCGTTGACTCGTTTCCTATGAGTTAAGTGCTATGACGTTATGATTCTAACGGAGGATTGGTCTTCTCTGCCAGGAGAAGCCAGAATACACTCTGTCCTGCTGAGAGCAGGTCTCAGCACACTGCTGTGCTCAGGCCAAGTGTGGGGACAAATCCTGCCTTCACCAAGTTTTGTAGAAACAGCCAGGCCCTTTGGTTTGCATCATCTCTGCTGCTTTGTCGCTACAATGGCAGAGTTGAGAAGCTGCTTTAGAGCTGGTAGCGCCCACAAAGCAGAAAATACGTCATTTACAGAAACTCTTGTCCTGGAGGAATTTCTCTCATTGAAGTGCTTTCGCAGTGTTTCCCAAAGTGTGGTATGCGTACCCCCAGAGGTATGGAAAGAGTTTGGTAGGGGTACGCATTGCACCGGAGTTTGGTGGGGATATGCACTGCACCGTGCTTAGCTGTGCCTAATTCTACGTTCTCATGAGTACGAGGGGTACTCAGCGTTACGAAAATTATAGAAAGGGTGCGCATATGTCAAGAGTTTGGGAAACACTGCATGAGACAGACTCAGAGGCCCATGGGCACCGGTCCTCAATCTGTCATTTCCCGCTGTGTCCGGACAGTCACTCCACAGCACCTGACCGGAAGTCCACGAGTGAGCTGGGGATGCCCATCACCCTTCACCCCTTACCCCGGCACCAGGACCAGCCCCGCCAGGACCCCAGCTTACTGGTGACTGCTGAAGCTTTGGTTCCATCTTCACTGACTTCAATTTTTGCTTTTTGCAAGATGTGAGAAATGTGAAGGCTTTCTGACCCTGTTTCCAGAAAATAAGACAAAAACAACAGCGTTTGTTTGCCATGCAGACCATCTGTGTGGCTGGAAAAGGAACCTCGGCCATGGCCAATTCCAGCCCGTAAAAGGTGTCAGAGAAGAAGCGACCTCTCACACAGTCCAGGAGACTGAAGGCTGTGGGAGGCCTGCCACCTGCCGTGTCTGCTCTGAGACGTGGGGTATCACTCAAGAGGAGGGAGTCCCAGGCCCCAAATACATTAGTGCTGCTAGCTAACTCCAATCACTGAGAATCTCATAAACAATAAAAAAAAGCGGAGCTTTAAGGAGCAAGCCAACATTATTTTTACACAGAAGCAGCAAGCCAACATTATTTTTTACTTACAAATGCCAGATCCAGGAGGGATTTCAGATAGCATTGACAGATGGGGAAACCAAGGCCCATAGTGTTAGAAAAAAAAGTTAACTTGCCTTTAAATCACATGGCAAGTTAGTGGCAGAGTAGGTGCTGGCTTTTCACAACAAAAACCACTCATCTCGTGGGTGTATTAGTAAGAGAAGAGGGTCAAGCAGGAGACCAGTCAGACTGTTGTGAGGGCCAGACTCAGAAATGCAGTTTTGTCCCTGGAACATTCTAGTGAATTCACTTTCTTTCTCAGCAAATCCTTACCATTCCTGCAACCCCCACTGGGGGCAGCTTTCAGGGGCAACACAAACAGGTTAATGGTAGCCTTGACTGGACATGGGTCAAATGCAAAGGGAACTAGTGCTTCTTGTGTCATCTGGTTTTATTTCATTTTAAATTTATCGGGCTGATATCTCTATATATATCTCTATATAAAAAATTTATCGGGCGGATATCACTATATAAAAACATAATATGCAAATAGGCCAAACAGCAGAACAACTGAACAAGTGAACAACTAACTGAACAACCGAACAAATGGTGGCTATGATGTGCACTGACCACCAAGGGGTGGGCACGGAACATGGCTAGTGTTAGCAGCAGGTGGCAGAACACAGAACATGGAGGGCAGTGGCTGCTACGGGATGGTGAAGCAGGTGAGCGGGGTGTCAGACCAAGGTGGGTGCCGATTGCTGTAATTGGGGCAAGCCTCTGGTGGTTACTGAAAATTCTTTGCTCCCACACATCCCAGTTCCATCTGGCACTCGCACTTGCTGCTAACACCGGAGCTGCTGCTTGCACCCGCTGCTGGGGCCCAGTGTTGGCCCTAATTGCTCGGTGCAATAAGTGGTTGTGAGCAGCAGCTGCTAACCCTGATCACCCTTCAGTGCTTCTCCAACTCCCCCTGCTCCCAAGGGGCAACTGGGACTGGCAGCCACCTCTTGCACCCACTGCTGGCACCAGAGCCACTGCTTGCACCCGCTGCCAGTGCCAGGCACCAGTCCCGATCACTCTGTGCCATCAGCGGGTGCAAAATGTGGCTGCTGCCCCAATCGCCCCTCAGGGCTTCTCCACCTCCCCTTGGTCCTGAGGGGCGATTGGGGCAGCAGATGCCGCTCGCACCCACTGATGATGCTGGCCATGCTTGTACCTGCTGCTGGTGCCAGCCCCAATAGCTCCACACCAGCAGCGGGTGCAAGTGGGGCCAGTGCTGTCAGCGACTGGGAGCGGTGGCAGCGGCTGGGAGCAGTGGGAGGGGCCAGGCGAGGGTGAAGAGGATGGGCCAAGACCTGCCCCTATGCCCACCGCAGCCTCGTGACCCACAGTTTCTTTCAAGGTGCATGAATTCATGCACTGGGCTCCTAACTAGTTAATAAAATTATGTAGGTTTCAGGTGTATGATTTTACAATCCACCAACTGTACATTGTACTGTGTGCTCACCACCCCATCTGGTTTTAAATTGGCTGTACCGATGCTTGGCTGTAATGTGACCGATGGTGAGTGAGGGGCCCCTTTGCAGGGCTGTGTCACCTGCAGGGTTAAACAGAAGGTCTCAGGGGAATTTGGGGAGCCTGGTCTTCCCTCTGAATACCTGTGAACTCCCTGGGGACACTAGTAGCATTTAGGCTGCACAGGCTAACCCTGAAGGGAAAAGTGCAGATTAAAACTGTGCTCCTCAAGTGTGTTTGGGCTGAGGAATTGGGTAAAGCAAAGACTCTGATTCAGTAGGTGTGAGTTGGACCCAACATCATGTGTTTCAAACAAGCTCCCAGGTGATGGGGCCGCCGCTGGACCAGGATGAGTCTCTGGCTTACAAGAGGAGACCATCAGGGCAGCCATGGCACTGCAGCTTCCCCAGGGGGGTCAAGTATGTCACCGGAACAGGCACTCAAGTGTTCACTAGCAGGCAGCTGAGGCTGGTGATGAATGAATGCCTTTGCACTCAAGGGGAAAAATACAAAATGGAGTGCAAGTAGTATTTAAGCCATGACTTTGCTATGGGAGGAGGTTGCTATGCCCCAAATTAAAAAAGACAAAGGAATGACCAGACACACTTAGCTCCAGGAAAAGGTACCTATGTGGGCTAAGAAGGGATGTCATATCAGATGTGTCCTAGAAGTTCTGGCAAAGAAAAATTCTAATAGGACTCCTTTGAATTTACATAATTTCAGGTTAATGGGCATGAATTTCCAAAATACATATCTGGATAGTGTGCATGCCTGCTGTTGTTTGGTGGGAATAAGTATTTGAGAGCCCCAAATATCTTGATTTTTCAAACAGAGGAGACAAGTGTGCATTTGAAAAAAAATAACAACTAATATCTAAGTAAGGGCAAATATTTCGGTAATAGAGACAATACACAAAGTACTTCTTTGCCTGTGTAAAGTTACGTGGGCTTCACAGGAAAAGTACACATGAAATGCAGGGATGAGTGACATGCTAATTGAAATGACTAAGGGTCAACAGCAACACTGGGCAATATATCAAATTAAATCTTGGAGAGTTTTAGGTCAACACACTCGTAATTTTGACCTTATCTTTCTGAACAAATCAGAGACTGAGTATGTAACAAAGTCTTCAAGTTTAAGAATATATTTTAAACTGCACATACTTGTTATTTTAGCAAAATTTGCCTTTGACGGATCAAACATGTCGGTGATGCCAAGAACTTTCAGCGGCTCCTTTAGATCCATTTCTGCTGTGGCTGTGAACCTAACGTGAAAGCAGAAAATAGGAGGAAAAAATCACTGGGCTATGAATGATATAAAGTGACATAATCAGTGCCAGCGGGAAAATGTTTACAAACAGCTTATTTTTAAGCACACTCTGAACACCAATCTAAATTGCATTGTAAATCTCAATCCCAAGGTACTTAGAGAACAACTCATCCCTCAGGCCCTCAGCTGGCGTTAGCAGCACATATAACAGCAAGTGCCCCTCTCTCATCCTCACATGCAATAGACTCCCCGTTCCAGTCTCAGGGAGACCCACAGGAGCACCTCTCTGTGTGGACGGGAGATGCCGGGTGCCGACAAGTGTATACACTCTGCAATGTCTACCGTCCTTCCCCACATCCAACCAGAGAGCCATCATCTTGGCTCCCGTGAGAGCCACCATCCTCACTGGGATTGGAAATGGTCAAAAGAGAGAAGATGCATTCCTGCTGGTTCATGGAGAGATCCTGAAATCATCTCAGGATGTTAAAATGAGAGCAAACACTGGGAATAGGTGTCATGGTATTATGCTTGGGTGTAATACTGGTTTCTTGAATATGTGTAGCTATCTGGCCTTATAGCATCCACATGTCAGCTATTCAATGTGTTTTCTGGGGATATTTTACCACATTTGATCACATCCTGCTGTGGGAGAGCAACAGGGTAGGTGAATGGATTCTCATCACAGATGGGTAGGAAAGGCAATTAGCCATCTTATGTAACAATAGACAGGCATGTAAATTGACTGTACCTTTGCTATGCCCACAGACAATCAAAATAAGTGTGCAAATTAACCCAACAAAGATGGCGGTTAATTTGCATATATAAGCGCCAAGTGGCTGGGGGCAGGCAGGACGCTTGCATTGTTGCCATGGTGATGATGAGGTGCTTGGGTTGGAGTGGAAAGGCAATGCCAGCAGCAGGGAAAGGAAGGCCCCTTGTAGCACGAATCTTCTTGCATCGGGCTTCTAGTTAATTATAATTGTAATTTACCAACAATGTCACCATCTCATTCCTTTATACCAAGCATTGCCTATGTAGAGGCTTATTTTACAACAAAAAATAATCTTGGGAAGATTACTAACACTTATTATCAATGTATTTCTCTGACTTCTTAATTCAGTGACTGGAAATTAGAAGCCATTAGAATGGGAAATTACCACCATGAGGTATGGGTGGTTAAAAGCCCTAGAAATAGGCCCAACACTTATGTTAAAAGTTCATAAAAGGAAGATATCATTGCCCCCTTTGCCATCTAGGCAAAACAAGGCATTCTCTTTTAGAAATTCAGGATTCAGACAGAATCTGAGATGACTTTTCCCTTGGATTTAAGTCTGAAGAGACCAAATTCCATCTGTCTTATACTTTCAGGGTATAACAGAAAAACTGCCCTAGATACTAATATATGAATTCTGCCTGGTGGTTTCAAAATATTTCCTTACCACCTACATTCTGGACCTTGGTCTTCAGTAACTTCCAGCTAAAACATAACTAAAATGAAGCTCTTTATCAAAGAACAGAATGCTACTAAACTTTACTATAATTTCATCATACTAATATGATGACATGCATGTGTTTTTCAGTTTTTTGAACAAATGAAATATGTTTGGAGCTTGGGGTTTTGTGGAGGCTCTGAGGCCATCTGCCTTCTCTCCTCCACTGTCATTAGCTGGCCATTCCAGAAGCACGGGAATAACAAACTTTCCCACAAGCACAGCTTTGCATTCCGACCATGTGATTTCTGCATAATAAAGTGGACTTCATGATGGGCCAGATTTTAGCTTCATGTTGTCTGGTATCAGGCACAATCACCATCAGCCATCAAGAATGGAACACTTCCGCTGTTTTCTCCTTCAGGGAAAGGAGCCACTTACTTGGGCAAGACGACCTGCACCCTCTTGGGCACCATCATGCTGGTCCAGCTGTCTATGGTCTTGGTGCTGATGTGAGGGATGATGGCTGAGAGTGGGGTGGAGCTCTCGCTCGGCAGCACAATCAGCATGCTGATGCTCTCCCCGTGATAGGGCAGTTCAATGAAGTTGTACCATAAGCCATTGGGGGTGCTTGCTGACCCTAAAGAAATCAGAGGCAGGTTCAGTAGGCCCTTGATGCTTCCAAACGTGGTGGGAGTGACTGTTGGTCACCACGGTAGAATCACAAGAAAGACAGCAATGCAAAATAGCTTCCTTAGGAGGACAAAGATAAGGACAATTATTTCTTCCTTCCATTGTAAAGAATTCCTTTCTTTAGTCTAAACAGAATGCCTTTGGGTGGCACTAAAATTACATTTATTCTGTTGAGGGGAATTTAGGTCATAAGGCACTGAGAATATAGTGGTTTGCAAGAAGTTGATCCTTATCATATGAATTAAGAAATGATTTTGAGCTGCCTGAGAAGGATTCTTTTGGCCAAGACTACTCGTGCATGTTGAAGAGAGGGAGGGAAGGAATAAACAGCTTCCATTGTTTAGGGCCCAATTGGTGCCAGTCCATACCAACCATTTCCACACAGTTACAATCACAGTGTCCCATAAGGCAGGTATAAGACATCTGTTACCACTAGGGAAGCTACCATTAGAGGAATTAGGTAACTTGCCAAGGGACGCATGGCTAAGAAGTGGAGCACCAGGACTTGGGGTCAGAAGGTCTAATGCCAAAGACCATCTTCCTACTTCACTACCCTGATTCCCTGCTCACTCTTCATCCATTCTAGTAACTATCACTAGGGCTCTTAGAAAATTTATGGTACTTGTGCTTGCTAATAACAAACCAAGAATGGCTTAACCAATATTTGTCAAAATGTCATGCAGAGAACTATTGCAATATGCTCAGTGGACAAATTGGGGTCCACACCCAGTGAGTTTAGAAAGCTCCCTGGACCATTGCTTCTTGCAGAGAATATAATACTAACATTATAAAGGCTCTGAGATATCCTGAAGAAAACTGTTCAACTCTACTTATCCCCAGATCTCCCAAACTAACCTGTTCTAACCCTTTTATCCCATGTAAAATATGCAAAACATTTAGCACCTGACCAGCATGCCTGAGCATCTCGGATTTGAGTGAATAAAAGTGTAGTCACAGTGGGCACTGGCCAAGAAGCCCAGCTTATGGGGACGGGCCCAGAGAGGCTATCAGCTCCCCGGTGAAAAGTCTTCGATAGGGCACTTTAGGATCCCATGGAGTTATAAAAATAATGTGGTGAATGGAAATTTCTAGACTTAGAGTGGGTTTCTGAAAAGTTTTATTAGACATATCTCAAACTTTTTAAGAAGAACTTGGTGAGGTTATTTAACCTCTATGTGCCTCTGAGCATGGAGGGTGGAGACACCAGTACAGGAGGATCTGGAGTTACCGGACCTGGATTCAAATCTGATACACACTAGCTCTTGGACTTGGGCAAACTCCTTATCCAGGGGTTGTTGAGATGATTAAATGTGAAAAAAAAATATATATGTAAGAGACTCAGCAGGGCCTGACCCAAGATGGTTGCCCACTGAGTACTGGCCCCTCTTCCTCCTTCTCTAAATGACCTAGAAGGACATCATATTTAAGGAAAAGAGAAAAGAGAAATGATTTCTGTCATGATTATCTTTTCTTTGGGGAAGACCTTTGCCAATCACTGCACTGGAGATAGATAATATCCACGTCAGGTCTCCATCGATGGGGAAGACAACGAACTTGTCTTTGTTACATAACAAACACTTTTAACTATAAAATGTGATGAAAACAGTGAAGCAATCAGAATGACTGACATGACAGGGTGACACTGCAGGTTCCTCTTAAGAAATAAATATGTGGCAACCTGTGCATGCGCAGGCTCACGCTCGCCCGGGTTTGTCTTGGGGCTACCTACAATTCAAACCTGGGACCTTCATCTCCACTTTTACCCTGCATAACACAATGGTCTCAGCAGAAGCTGAAAAATCCATGGGAAAGTGAGAGAAAAATCACTTCCTAATAATCCCTTTAATCCTCAAAGAAAACATTAGGTCCCTTCTCTGGCAGAACTAATTTTTAGAAACTGAAATTTGGGAAGCAGTTAATAAATGATTACCCCAGGGCGAGGAGTAAGCACCTGGAGGTACTCATTAACCACTTCTAGAAGTGTTTAATGTTCAGATAAGGATTGGGGCCATGAATAATAAAAACTTATGAGCTGAGTGTGCTTGCGGCTAGGAGACAGCCTATTTCCACCAGTTAATCCAGCCACGACTGGAGACATCATTAACTAACCATTTGACATCCAGTCCCTCATGTCTGCCCCCAGATTCCTTTCTCTCTGGCTCTGCTCCTGCTTCTGATCACAGGAGCTGGTGACAAACCCCTTCCATGCTTATCTTTACTTGGCGGCTTGAAGAGCCAAGAGACAAAAATAACATGAGTCCTCTTCTTCCACTCGGTCCCTCAAGCCCTGCTTTCACAAAGCTGCCTTAAGGAGGGCAAGCGCAGAGGTCAGAGACACGAGATCTGGAGTTATAGGACCTGGATTCAAATCCTGGCTCTGACACATACTAGCTCTTGGACTTAGGCAAATTCCTTATCCAGGTCTTAGTTTATTTACCTGTGCAATGGGATAACAGTGCCTACCTTGGAGAGCTGTGAAAACAAAATGAGAACATATTTGCACAGTGCTCAGCACAGGGGCTGCACGAAGCAAACACTTGCATCTACTGATGTCAGCAGTTTTGTAAAAACACTTCACTTCTTGAGTATTAGGTTGCTGCGCAAGCAGTTGAAACAGAATTGATCCACCAAGAGAAATCCTAGTAGAACATAGCTCCTGGGCAGGAAGATTCAGACAGAGAAAGGGTATTTGGGAAGCTGGTGAGGGGCAGGGTCCCAGACGGCTTCCCCTTAGTGTCCTGCCCGAGGCCCTGCATCCCGCAGCGCTAGGAAGCAGACGGAGCGTGCTTTAATGAGGATGATCTCTGGAGAACATAACAGTGCGAATGAAGCAGGCTCCTTCATTCTGCAGAGACGGGAAGATGTGAAAAGGGGAAAAGCAGCCTTTTCTCTTAGATGAGTGGTGATCAACCAAACCTTTAGTAAGAAATAAAAGGCAGAAAACCAAATATTAAAAATATTAGAGATGATTTTGGACTTTCTGTCAGGGGTGCTTTGGGGATGAGCCAGTTTTTGTGGAAAGCTCCCTGAGTGCTCCGATTCCTATGTGAAGTCCTATAAGGGAGGAAATAGTAGGTAGGCTCAAGGAAAGGTGAAGAAACTCTTAACAGTCTGTGCAATCAGAACATTTTAAATATTAAATATCAGGAAAGCCTCATAGAGGAGCATTCCCCAAATTACCTTCTACTACAAGTAACTATGGATACTCTGAGTTCTGAAGGAACTGTTCAGCTATACTTAGTAGATATTGAGGTATCTACACAATAAGTAGACCCACAGCCTGTTGTCTGTACTCAGGATGGAGCAAAGGGAGTTTGAAGAGAGCTGATGGGGAGGGCTGATGGTTTGAGAAGCTGGGTGAGAACTGGTGCCATTTGCTGAGCTGAGGGACACGGGGCAGAGAGAACTCGATGAGTGAGGGCCACCATGCGCTTATCTATGGAACTAGATTTAATAGACGACCACAGAGAAATAAAATGAGTAGGTGTATGAATAGGAAGCTCAGAAGAGAGTGGAATCTAGAAATACACCGATACATACACAAACATGCATATGTATTTCTGGAATTCTTTGTGGCCTTTTAAAAAAAAATGTAAGTCTAAATTCATAACCATAAACACAAGAAATGTGTAACTGCTTTGACTTAGCAATTCCTATTCAAGGAAATTACCTTTAGAAGTTCTGGCACAAGTATCTAAACATTTATGTATGAGAATGGTCCCTGCTGTGCTGTGTGTTATGGGGAAAAAAAGTCAGTGGCCATTTATAGGATACACTTACGCCATGGCATATAATGCAGTTGATAAAAATATCCCATTGACATCAAAAAGTTTCCCAAGTTATACTGTCTAGTGAATAAAGCAGATTATAGAGTAGAAATGACGGTGTAATTCTCTGCATGTGAAAAAGTCTCATGGACACATTTCAGAGAGCCATAGGAAAAGTCTCAAATGCTATCCCTGGCACTTAAGAGGGGTTTTTATCTTGGGATATGGGATTGTAGGGGAACATGTACTTTCTGCCTTATATGTGTCCTATTTGAGGATATTTGCAGTGAGCAGGAAATATACTTCTACCACAAAAGGGTTTTTCAGACTTTTTAATAGAAAAGTTTCTTTCATTGAAGAGCTCTACTTAATGGACAGAGTCAAGAGAATTTCCCCTCCTTCTCTACTTTCCCCCTCTCTTAATGTTACTGAGTGATGGCATCTCAGAGGGAATAGATGGAAAGACTGATAAATGGGATGGCAATGCTTCGGCGAAGTGACTAGGAATGGTGAGGTTTGGGGAGGCCCAGGAACGTTGGGCTGGTGGCACCAGAGCCTGTGTGCGTGGGTCCAGGCTGGCAGCCTGGCCTGTCTCAGCCGGGACTGCCCAGCCTGAGCCCTCGCTGGTCGTGGTGGCCAGCCTGAGAGGAGACACTGGAAAATGTGAGACTGGCTCAGCAATCTGTAGTCATGAAGACGAATGCCTGGTGGGGCCACCACAGACAGCTAGCTCCGTGCTCCCTGCACAGCTGCAACAGGACAAACCTGCCCTGGCCTTCCGTGAAAAGCAGAGTTTAATGAAGGGACTGCTTATACGGCATGGGCAGAGGACAGAGAAACCAATTAGGAAGGCACCCTGGGCTACAAATAGTTGGGCATCCTTACCGGCCTTAGTCTGGGAGGGGTGAAGGGAAGGAGGTGACCGGAGCTTTTGGGCACGCCCTCATGGCAGGCGCTAAATAAGACCTTGGTGGAGGGAGGCCAGGTCCTGGTGACTGCAGGGAGAGGGCTGGGAAGTCAGCAGCTTAACCCCTCTTCCCTCCCTTGCCCCACAATCTGCTAGTTCGCCCCACTAGCCAACCCAGCTGGAAGCCAGAGGGCTGGCAGCCCACAGATGCAGCTTCCTGGGGGCCCCCACCGGGTGGAGAAGCGAGGACACAAATCAGGGAAGGGGCCAATACCGCAGTTTCACAGAGAATGAACCTTTGACAACAAGGATGTATTTCTGTACTGCTTTCTGGTGTATATTCTGAGAAAAGCAGTTCTTAATGGAAAAGCTCCCAGGGACATGTCGCTTCCTTTCTGGGAATATCCTGTATACTCAAGAAAAGTAGGCTACATTTACACACATATTTGAATCTTTTAGAAATGTCAGTGGAATTCCTTGCATTTTCATATTTGACTGCTGACATTTGTCTCCCTCCCTCCCCCAATAGAAACATCCAGTAAATGAGGTCCCCTCACTTTTTATTTTGTTAGAATGTGTGAAAAGATTGACCTTAACACAGCTGCACCTGGGCTCTGAGTTGGTGGTCTTACTGATAGCAACTTGGGGCAAAAGAGCCTTTCCTTATTCTCAGTTGCTTCGCATGATATGTTTCTGCAGGACTTCTTAACTATATGTTATCTTTTAAAAAAATTATTGAGTGAATGACAACATTTTACCAACAAGGATGATGAATAATAAATGAGAGGGAAGTGACTTTATCACATCCCTTATATAAGTCATTCCCTAATTTAAAGAATCAGGCAGCTGGTGAAGTGTTGAGCAGTGCTTGAAGCTAATACATACTGAATACACAAAGGAAATACTTGGAAAACACACATCCAGATATAGGTTGGAGACGTCAAGGCTAACTTATACAGTGAAAAGAAGAGTAAGGTCAATCGGAACACCAATACTTTGATAAAACCAGGTTTAAAATGCAACCAACAAACTCAGCTATCTATGCTGTGGTAATGGCAGCAGAGGTGCCATTTTTTGGTTTCCTGATTGCAAAATGGATACATATTTTTAAAAATTTCAAATTGAAATAAAGAAAAAGAATCATTTGAAATACTACCTCTGCTAACATTTCTTTTCTTTTTTTCTTTTTTTCTCTGCTAACATTTCATTGAACATTCTCCAACACAGGTCTCTAGAGATGTATGAATATAAAGTATGTTATACAAATGGGATGATTCAGCATCTATTGCTCTATAGCTTGTCTGAAATCAACTGTATGTTAGAAAGGAGCCTTGCATGTGTGAACTTACCACTCCGGAACAGAGAGAGCTGGGCTAGCATGGGCACTTGGTAGGACTTCCCGTCAGCTGCCACAAACGGACGTTTCTTTGTGTTCTCGGGCCGAAACCGTGATTTCCACAAACCCTTAAAATACAGGGCGTTGACCAGGACCATTCTGGTGAGCATGCCATCGATAAGGTCAGAGGAGAGCAGATTGTCGATCTTACCTGTGAAGTCACAGAACAAACAAGGAAGAAACTTAGGATTGGCAGAGGCAGCTGCTGGGTCAGGAGAATGGAAAAAATCAAAGGGATTCCTAAATGATTTTGAAAAGCATTTTTTTTTTACACCACCCTTGTATACTTTCTGATTCTTTTTCTCACTAAAAAAGTAAAGCTGAAAACATGTTAAAAAGCAGAGATCAGGGAAGAATCTCTAAGATTCTCTATGTAGGGATTACTGAACTTTTCACCAGGAAATTCTTTTATACCTAGTCCCTATCAGCCCCATGTTTTAGAAAAATTTACTCATCCAAATAAGCTATACAGTATTTAATTATTAATTAGGTTCCCTATTTTGGCTAATAACGGGCATGTGTGATGACCAGTGAGAGGTTTTGGTCAGCATAAGATAAGCAGTCGGGCTGTTTGAACCACTGAGTTGATTTAATCACAGTCAAAATAAAGAAACACTTTATCCTGTGCCTAAGTTCTCTTGATATTTTTAGAAATGTTGAGCATTGTTTGTAATCTGTGTGTGAAGAAGAGTGGAAGTTAAAATCGGTGCCTATATTTATGGGTCAGGGATCAAGCTAGGTGCTAGTATTACAGAGATGAGAAGAAATGAGTTCTCTCCCAGAACTTCTAACGTGGAAGGAAAACTCTCTTCCCCAGACGTCAGGATGTGGGGAGGGTCCGCCTCCCTTGTGCCAGGAGTGAAGGAGCAGCCCCCCTTGTCCTGGGAGACTCCGTGAAGCACAGGGTCCTGCGAAGTGCTACCTGGGCTTCACCCTTTGGATTTTCATTCAAGTTCCTTTGGCTTCATATTGGAAGATTCAGCTGAGTGTGTGTGTGTATGTACATGTGCAAGAGAGATCACTAAAACCCAAAGCTGTTAAAAGTTAGTTCAATGCAGCTTAAAAAAAAAAAAAAAAAAAAAAAAAGGAATGCATAATTTAAATGAAAGTTATAATGTAACTAAATGGCAAGAGTTTCTGAAGACGCAAGAATGCCTAACTCAACGGAGAGATTTAAGTCATTTTAAATGAAGTGCAAGAAGATTCTGATGTACAATAAACAAACATATAAATAAATCACCAGAGAGAAGCAGAGGCAGGTTTCCCTGACAGTTTCACCATTGCTCCCTATTTCCACAAGGGGGCACCAACGCCACCTTAGCTTCGGATCTGAAGGAAAATGAACGTTTTAAATAGCCATTTATTCAATGCAAGGCCGGCCTCTGTGAACAGACCGTAGGAAGGAAGTTAGAGCTCTGTGCTCTGGTGATAGCAAGCTCCTTAGAGCTAGTCCCCCACAGTGACTGTGTCTTGCCTTTGCTGGGAACATCCCAGCGCAGTCCCTCCCTGCCTTTTAACACTCCATGGTCCCTCTTGTCCACCTTTCTGAGCTTCCCACTCATCTCTCAGGAGTTTCCATAAAGCACCACCATGACATCGAGGTATTTTATTCCAGACAAATGTAATGTGTCTATCTCCCCCAACTGAACCACGAATTGTGCAAGCAAGGATCCTGTCATTTATTTCCTAAAGTCCCGCCAGCTCTGTGTTCAACGTACAGTCAGTGCTCACTAAGTGTCTGAAGAAATTTCTTCAACCTTTTTTTTTTATTGCTAAGATAAATAAAACCTCTGATTGCCACTGGCAGGACTAAGATATTGTAAGGAGATATGAAAAAACAAAACAAAAACACAACAAAACAGGAAAGATAAAGAAAGGCAAGAAATGCATAGCTTAGAGGCAATGAGGCACGCAGGGCACCTGCCATCAGTGACTGTCATAAACATGCATCCATTGACCATCCACGTGTCTTCCAATACACTCACTATACACTTACCCATTCATTCTTTTTAAAAACATATGTTTTTATTGATTTCAGAGAGGAAGGGGAAGGATATATAGAGAGAAACATTGATTATGAGAATCATTATCAGCTGCCTCCTGCCTTGAGCCCACAACATGGGCATATGCTCTGACCAGGAATTGAACTGTGACCTTCTGGTTCATAGGTCAACATTCAACCACTGAGCAACACTGGCCTGGCCCCATCCATCCATTCATAGATGCCTATCTATCAGGTGCCACATATTCTTTTAGATAAGAAAACAAAACAAACAAAACTTATCTAAATTTTCTTTAGATAAGAAAATTACAACAAATAAATAAACCCTGCCCTTGAAGAGCTGTGTCCTTGAAGTGGAGGCTGACATAAGTAAATCCAGAAGAGTATAAAGCTGCAGTGGTAACAGCTACCTTGAATGAAAGCACTCAAGGATGTGAGGGCAAATAAGGGGAATCTGACCTGGTTGGCGAGGTCAGGAATGGATGGGTTCCTTGAGGAAGTATTACTTAGTTGAGCTAATGGCTATCAAAATAGCTCACGCTTGAACACTTGCTAAGTGCCAGGCACTCTGCTAAATGCTTTACATGTATTATTTTTATCCTCATCACAACCTTAACATTGTTACGGCTATTCTAGTAGAGGCACAGGGAGGTTAAATAGCTAGCCCAAGCATATACAGTCAATAAAAGGCGGAACTGAGATTCAAACTCAGAACGTACTCTTTTAACTGTTATGCTCTTCTAGTGTGAAAATGACCAGGCAGTAACAAGGGGAAGGGACATATTCAGCAGGTTGGGGTCCAGTGATCTAAACATCAGGAACCACAATGAGAAACATGCCTGAAAGCTGGAGTTACCCCAAGTTTTTTCTTTGAGTCTCTCTATTGAGTCTCATTTGCTTCCAGTCCTGTGCCCTTAACTCTCCCTTCTAGGAATAATGGTTCCCAAATCTACATTTCTACACTTCACTTTTCTCTGTTGTCCCGGACCTACCTCTCTTCCTGCGTATTTTCACCTGGAACTCCAGTTTACAAATGAACAGGTTTAAAACGCCAATGTCAGACTTGGCTCAGTCTCATGGGAAAAGAGACACAGGTAAACAAATAATCATTATGCCGTGTGGCAAGTGCTATGATGAAGGGCATAGAAGAGGCACAATCATATGCCCATCAGAACTGGAGAGGAGGTACCTGCTCCCTGCCATGGCAGAGCAAGACTCAGGGAAGGTGAGAGAGAGACCAATCCTGAATATTAAAGGCTGCGAAGGACATCCCAGGCAATGGAGACAACAGATACTCAGGCAGGAAGGAATGAGTAGCAAAAATTTCAAAACAGACAAGGGCCAGTGCACGAGGTTTCTGGGGATGAGAGGCAGGGAGGAGAGAAGAGGGTCTGCAGGGCTGTATTCTTGCTCTGCTGTCTGTGCCACAGGGGGGGAAAAATCCCCGTGAAAAGGGAAGGAAGGCAGCCCGAGTGGTGGGGCCTGCTCAGAAAGAAAAGATAGACCAGCCAGTGGGGTCTTGACCTTTGCCAACAAAAGGGCCCCTGGACTTGCAGGCACGTGTTAGGATCTTAGTGTCTAACTAACTTATTAGGATCTTAGCATCTAACTCACGCTTTCATTCACAAAGTGTAAAATCACACAACATGTTGCCCAGGGGGACGTGACCACTCACCCCGGGTTTCATTTTTAACCCACGCGTTGATGGAATCACAGGCAAAGGCTGGATCTCTAAAGTTCACGTTCCGGACTTCGCACTGAAACACATCTTTGTTCCTGGTGATAAAAGGCACTTCGATCTTAGAGCCATTGTTCACAAACATCGCGTTCGCCACTGTCACGACATCTTTATTCTTCTTGGAGACGATGGCCTTGTTGATCTTCTTTAACGTCTTACCAGCTCCTAGAGGGGAAAGGAGAACACAAGGCAGTATTTCCACAAGAATTCTGAGAAGTGATTTTCTCAAAGTATCTTCTATCTTACGGCAATAACAACAGGATAAGCAGGATAATACGAGTAGCGTTCTCAGTGTCCTCGTGTTAAGAAAAGGAGGGGTAATTAAATAAAGTACAACTGTTCATGGGTCTTAAAAATCGTTGATGCTCCGAGCATCCAATCAGGCACACTGAAGGCATTTTCAACACCTTTCCCACATGGACTTCATTCTCCTGGGGGACTTTCTGGGTACCAGGTCCAAAGGAAGATTGGTAAGCGCCTCAGTTATGTAGCCATGGAGGGATACATGAGCGGAATCTTCCCAACCCATTCTCTTTCTCACTTAACAATCGTGACTGCTATTTCCTTTCCTGCCAAAGGTTTAACAACATGATTACCTTTTCTACTTTGGGAAAACAAAGAATAAAATAAGCATTTGAAAGACTATAAAAAAGTGGCCATGTGCCATCATCCAAGAACAATGATTTTTACTTGATGCCAGGCTCAAAAAGTAAAGGGATTAATTTTATGGCAACATAAGCTTTATTCTACACAAGCCATCGTATGTGCTCCACTCAGTGTTAGCGCCTGGGAAAGAGGAGAAAGAGTTATAAGGATGCAGTGTGTTTCTACAGAGAGCTTGTATTACAGGTCCTTCTCACTCACGTTGCAGAATGACATTGTCCTAAAACGCCCTGCAAGTCTTGTCACTCTGAGAGCATATTGATTTTTTTTTTTTTTTTTTTAGATAGAAAAAAAGGGGAGGGGAGAGAGAAAAACATCGATGAGAGGAAAACATGAACATTGACTGGCTGCCTCCTGCACGCCCCCTACTGGGGACGGAGCCTGCAACTTGGATAGATAATTATAGCTTCACAGGAAGTTGCAAAACGGTGTATAGGGTGGTATCACGTACCTTTCACCCAGTTTCTCCATTGGTGACATTACGTATGGCAATGCCACCACCAGGAACTTGCCATTGGGACAGCCCACAGAGCTCATTCAGATGGCAGTGTGTGTGTGTGTGTGTGTGTGTGTGTGGGTGTGTGTTCTTCATGCAATGTTATCCCCCAGGTAGGTTCATATGTCTATCACCCCAGTCAAGACACAGAAGGGTCCCATCACCAGAAGGCTCCTCGGGCTGCCCTACATGGCAATGCACAACCCACTTTCCCAGTTGACATTGTTAAAAGTGCATTCACAGCCATAAGGCATTCTTAGCCTTGAACCTCATGAAGGTGGGCAGATGGGCAGTTTCTCTTCAGAGATGAGAAAATTGAGAGATCGAGGGTTTGACCCAAAGCCCTACAGGCACAGGCTGGAATCCAGCTCTCCTAACTTCCAGCACCGCAGCACCTGTGCTTTAGAGCAGATGGCTTCATCCCTGGATGGCACCAGGGCTGCTCTGCTGGCTTCTGGGCTTTAAGAGAAGACCCAGCAAGGGATCCCCAGACTCCTGTCGGGCCCTGTGGCCAGAGCCCACAGCACACACCTTTCACGCCGTATCTCATCACAGAGGTGAGCTGCGCCTTGGTTCGGCCGTCGGCTCCCAGCTGCAGCATCCCCAGCACGGACGCGATCCCATGGGGGGAGACGACGATGTTGTCCTGAGGCCGGGACTTGACGATCTGGTGGAAAACTTGGATGCCTATGTCCGAGCCGAGTTCCTCCAGAGGCTGAGGATTAAACTGGAGGCACACGGAGGGCAAAGTCACTGTGACCACGAGGAAGAGGGGGAAATGCCAAGACATGGTTTCTGCACGCCAGGCCAATCTGAAAATTAGATTAGAAAAAGATCACTTAAATCCTCCTGAAATGGGCGCCTTGGGGGACGGCTTTGTATTCAACCAGATGGGACTTACCATATCCAGCATAACAAATACCTTCTTTAAAAAAAAAAATTATTGATTTTTTACAGAGAGGAAGGGAGAGGGATAGAAAGCTAGAAACATCGATGAGAGAGAAACATCTACCAGCTGCCTCATGCACACCGCCTACTGGGGATGTACCCGCCACCAAGGTACATGCCCTTGACTGGAATCGAACCTGGGACCTTTCAGTCTGCAGGCTGACGCTCTATCCACCTATCCACTGAGCCAAACTGGTTTTTAATAAAGTGAAGAAAGAACAGCACAGATTACATTGATTTCGACTGTATGTTGTTAGGGCGATGGGGAGGGACAACTAAGCACCAGACACTATTCTAATTGTTATTTATTACTCATAACCACTGTCCATCCAATTAAACCAACATTGACGGAGTGCCTACTGTGTGTCAGGTCCAGGTCTAAGTACTGGGCATTCAACTGTCAAAAAGGTCGGCAAGACCCCTGCTCTCCTGGAGTTTCCACTCCAGAGGGAGACAGAAAATAAACCGGGAAGCAATAAAGTTGTGAGAGAGGGATCAGGGCAGGGACAAGAAAGCAGAGTGATGCCAGCGAATGGCAGGCTGGTGCGGGCAAAATTAGCCAGGGCTGCTATCCAGAAAGCCTCTTCTGCAGAGGGAGCACAGGTGGCGAAGCCTGGACGGTGAGAGACCCAGCAGGGCGCTGAGCAGGGTTCAAAGGGCCTGTCAGGCAGGCGGATGGCAGGGCAGAGGCCCTGAGGTGGAGCGCACCTGGTGCTGGAGTTCAGGGTGGCTGAGACATAAAGAACTTGGAGGAGGTGAAAAGGAGGAGGCGCAGGTTCTGAGGGGCCTGCAGAGCTTGGATTTCATTCCAAGGAAGAAACCATTCACATGGCTGTGATTATCATATAACTATACTCTGCATTCCTGATTTTCTCACATAGACATAATCCTTTCTTAATAAAAGAATTGTTGATTAAAATAAGTTTAAGGGACATTCTTAAATTGTTGATTAAAATAAATTTAAGGGACGTTCATTCAATGGGGCAGGTATTCTCGATATGGTGATTTTGTTACACGGATATTCTCAACGATGGTGATTTTATTAAATGTGATTTCTTCCTTGATTGCCTTTTCCTGAGCTCTCTCAGGCTGTGAAATATGAAGAGTGGTACATGTGTTTATGGAAAAGCAAATACTTTCATTCAATAAGAATCTCAAGGTGGCAGCCAGTAAAACAAAAGCAAAAATTGTGATATGGCTAATAGGTCCCTCCCTCTGGACTGGAGCTCCTGCTAAGCACAAGTTTCTCACAAGGGAGGTTGAGAGTGTCTGCAGAGAACAGGAGAGAGGGGAGCCTTTTAGGAGACAGGTGCCCAGGAGTGAAGGGGAAGTGAGGTTTCTGTGCTCCAGGGAAAAGAAGGGACACTGGGCTCATCAGTAGACGAGTGGATAAAAAGCTTGGTACACTAAGACAACGTACTATTATTTGCCATAAAAAAGAATAAAGTCCTACCTTTTTGCAACAGCATGGATGGACCTAGAGGGTATTATACTAAGTGAAATAAGTCAGACAGAGAAAGACAAATGCCATACAATTTCACTTATATGTAGAATCTAAAGAACCAAATAAACAAACGAATAAGAGAAACAGAATTGCCCTAGCCTGTTTGGCTCAGTGGATGGAGTGTTGGCCCATGGACTGAAGAGTCCCAGGTTCCATACCCGGTCAAGGTCATGTACCTTGACTGCAGGCTCAAATCCCGGCCCTGGTCGGGGTGCATGCAGGAGGCAAACAATGAATGTGTCTCTCTCACATGGATGTTTCCCTCTCTCTGTCTCTCCACCTCCTTTCCACTCTCTCTAAAAATCAATGGAAAATATATATTTGGGTGATGATTAAAGGAAACAAACAAAAAACTGAAATAAACTCACAGATACAAAAAACAGACTGATGTTTGCCAGAGGAAAGGCAGGTTGGGGGCTGGATGAAAAAGACGAAGGAACTGAGTACCAATGGGTAGTTTTAGAACAGTCACAGAGATTAAATTACAACATAGGGAATATAGTCAATAATTTTTTAATAACTATTTATTGGGTCAGGTGGGTACTTGAAATATTGAAGGGAAGGGACCACACTGTAAAACACACATTTTCTAACTGCTATACAGAACAATACTGAATTTAAACTGTAATTGAAAAATAAAAAATAAAATCTTAGAAATAAAAAGGGCTTGAGAGAGAGAGAGAGAGAGAGAGAGAGAGAGGAGGGAGGGAGGGAAATTAGGGCAGCATTAAGCAAACAGGCATTTAGTTTTTCCTCACTTTCCTTCCTATGTATGTGTCTCCTTCCCCTCTAGATCATAGTAGATGGTCAATAAATACCGTACATGTGGGATTAAACCTGCTGGCTTACATACTTCCTATTTTTTCTAATTATTTTTCATGGCATCAAAATCATATTTATTGAGTGTGACGGGGAAAATGATTGTGTTGAGTCACTGTTAGCACCGTAAACTTCCCACGGAGGGTAAATTCTTTGGGGTGGAAGAGGGCTGGCAGCAAGAGCTCCCGCCTACCACCTCCACACATAGGGCCACAAGGTGAACACCAAGGCCATCATTCAAGGTGATGTTGCAGGTTTTTTCCACACATTTTTAAAAATGTAGAGATGCAGAGTTTCTCCAGAGCTTCACAGTAAAATAATTGGGTAAAGGCAGCCTGTCTGCATTCAAAACAGCTAATTGACCTACATACACTCCTTCTGGGGGCTTTCCTATGGCTGGTGTGGCCTACTTTGACTTTGGCACCTAGGACTGGCTCTAATACCACTAAAATCTCCTGATTTTCTCTCTGCCTGTTGGACATTGGGGAGCTTCCAAATCCTGATTATGGAAGCTTTGCTCATTTTATCTAAAAAGAAGACACTGTGTCTGTCTTCCCTCCTTCTCTCTCTCCTTCCTTTTTTTTTTTTTCTCGTGATAAATTTCCTCTTTAAAATGAAATAGACCAAAAACCCATATCTATCTATCTATCTATCTATCTATCTATCTATCTATCTATCTATCTATCATCTATCAAGCCTAAGCAACCTTTACGACCCGAATGACCTGTTGTCAACCAGTCACTATGACACACACTGACCACCAGGGGGCAGACACTCAACACAGCCAACATCCCACTGCCTGCCAACCACCCAAGGTCCATCCCCCCCTGCACAAATTCATGCACTGGGCCTCTAAAGGTAATTATAAAGCAATTTGTACAATCTTGGTTACAAATGGTGAAATTTGGTGACTGGAGCCAAATCAATCTGAATTGTTGACCCTTGCATTGTAATCTATTCTGGCTTCTACCTTCAACATCCCATCGTATACACCCAAGCCTCCCAAATAAATCCTCCTGGATTAGCAAATATTTGAATAAATGTTTGAATCTGCACACTCATAAAGGACATCAAATTGGTTTTGCCTCTGATAGCTTACAGTTGGTTCACTTAAATGTTATGGATTTCTGTAGAAAATTGTAAAACGGGTAAAGGATCAGTAACAGATGGAAATTTAATAGCTCCAATGTCTCAGAGTTGACAAAGACAATCTTCTGAATAAATAGCCATCTTATTTAGCAAAATTTTACTCGGTTATGAGTTGTTGTTTTTTTTCTTTCTAAAGAACAGTTCCATTATGAAGTGGGGGAACGCTGTCATTGGTATTTTCCTTGGTTTCTTTTATTTAAGATTTCTGGGAGATGCTAGTGCGTCAGGACAGTGCAGCACTTGGAATCAGAGCTTTTTTTTATTGATGTTCTGGGCATCACTGCTTGGCCTCCATTTCCTAGGCTAAATGTTCACTCATCTGAACTCACCTGGCTTATGTACATGTCTAAAATCAAGCTTTTACTTCTCTCCAAAGTTCTGTAGCTAGGAGAGTGGATATTGATACATGAATACTTTAGGCTTGTAAAATTCCTACAAGAGATACCTGTTCATGTCCACATAGACAACTTTTTACATGGAATAACTGTCGAAGTTCAGGCTTTGAAATTCTTAGCTTCTAGAAGACAAGGAAGTTCTCATTTTGGAAAGAATATAGTAACCTCCTGTTTATTTTTTAAAAGAAATTACACTTTAAACTTTCAAGTAAGAGGGGAAGAATAAAGATGGTGCCCAAATGTATTACATAGCATCCACATGTTTCCATTTCTTGAATATTCTTTTCATAACAGTAAAAAAGAAAAAGATTCTTAGTTTAAGTCATCAATGGAGGAAAGTCAAAATACCTGTAAATAAAGCCATGGTTACAGGCATGTCCTTCCAAATGTGGGTTTCTCCTTCCCCACAAACTTCTAGTTTCTCTTCCTCCAAAGCTTTCCTTCTCAGTGTGGTGTTGGGAATGCTTTTGATATAATTGGGCACTGTTTTGAGTTTTAAACAAGATTTTAAATGCCAGATGCCAGAGTCTTGGTGCATCCCCACATCTATAAATGCACCACCTGTCAATGGTAGGCAGAGCACCGCTTCCATAGACCTCATGACTGCAATTGTCACTTCTACCAGATGATGCTCAAATCCTCAGCTGAATTTCAGTGCCACACTTACAACTGTTGGCTGCATATTTTCAGCTGATTGCTCAGAACAATAGCTTGGCCTGAAAAATTCTAGTCTGTGAAATCTACCAGCCCTTATAGGGTGGTCCTTGTTGCTAGTCCTTGATCTTGCCCATGTCCAGGCCTTTGCTTCTCCCCTTACCTTCTACCTACTAAGCACTAGAGCTCCCCCAACTCCTTCCAGGGTCTGTGGGAAGTTTCCCTGATTGCCCCAGATAGGGCTATTCACCCTCTTCTCTGAATTCCCTAGAATTTCCTATCTGCACTCTTTTGTTTTTGTTTTTCCAAGTGTTTTTTTTT